TGGAGCCCTGAGGAGGGAACGTACCACCTGAAGGGTGAGGGCGCGAGGAGGGCGGGATAGTCGTGGGAGGGGGCTTGGTCCCAGGGGAGGGCGAGTGGTAGAAGGGAGAGGCATGGACAGCTGTGGCAGGGAGAGTAGGTGGGGCAGGTGTGGTCCTCAGTTCAGCATGGGATCTCCAGCACCTGATGTGGCCAGGCCCACACTGGCTACTGGCATCAGGGGCAGGTCCCTAGGACTCTTCACTTAAGCACCATCCTGCACTTGTGTGCCCAGGAGTCATGCCCCCCGACGAATACCATTCAGGAGTCAACAACTCTGTGTACACCAACGTGCTGGTCCAGAACAGGTCAGACCAAAACCCCTTTCCAAACCTCCACCACGCAGAGGTCCCGCTGGGAGGACTCAGGCCATACCCTCTCCCTGCCTCTGCCCCAGCCTGCGCTTTGCTGCTGCCCTGGCCCAGGACCTGGGTCAGCCTGTCCCCAGCGAATGGCTGGTAGTGGCTGATAAGATCAAGGTGCCCTTTGACCCGAAGCAGAACTTCCACCCTGAGTTTGATGGGTACCAGCCTGGTGAGTGCACTAGGAGCTACCTCAGGGCCCCTTTATGCCTCCCACGGGACCTGTGTCCTCCCTGGCCGTCCCCTACCTGATGGAGCAGCCCCTCTTCCTGCTCCCACCCGCGTCAGCAGCACCCGTCCCTCCCCAGGAGAGGAGGTGAAGCAGGCTGACGTCGTGCTTCTGGGTTACCCCGTCCCTTTCCACCTGAGTCCTCACATTCGCAGGAAAAACCTGGAGATTTATGAGGCTGTGACATCTCCAAGGGGCCCTGCCATGACCTGGGTAAGGAAACTGCAGGGGTGTGGGGTGGCGGTCCTCACAACAACCCCAGCCCTCCCCCACTAGCCTCAGTCTCCCCTCCCCATGTGGTGGGCTTTGCCCCAGCATGTCCTCTGACCTCTGACCCCAGAGCATGTTTGCCGTGGGCTGGATGGAGCTGAAGGACCCCTGGCGGGCGCGGGACCTCCTGGAGAGATGCTTTGCCCACATAGCTGAGCCCTTCAAGGTAGCTGGGTCTCCATGTCAACTCACATGCTTGTGCGCCTGGTTGGGGGGAGGTACACACCCACCTCCCGCCGTGGCCCTGGGGGGGCAGGAGTGGGAGCGCAGCAGGGGCAGGTCCCTGGGGACACGTGCCTGACCCTTGGAAGCAGGGGCAGCAGCTCCCGGGAGTCCGGCCATAACTGCCTTGGCACACGCAGGTGTGGACGGAGAATGCAGACGGGTCGGGCGCTGTGAACTTCCTGACAGGCATGGGGGGCTTCCTGCAAGCCGCACTCTTTGGATTCACAGGGTTCCGGTGAGTGCATGTCTGGCCCGGAGTAGTCCCATCCCCTCCCCACTGCCCGCTCTCAGGAATGTCTCCCCTCCCCCCAGGATCACCAGCGCTGGCGTGACCTTCGACCCCATTTGTCTGGCCGGGGTGTCTGGAGTGTGCATCCGTGGCCTCTCTTACCAGGGGAACAAACTGGACTTCTCCTTCTCCAAGGGCTGCATGACAGTTGAGGTCAAAGCCCAGGCTGGACCCTGGGCCCCACCCCTGGAGGCTGAGCTGTGGCCAACACACACTCGCCTCCCCCTGCTCCCAGGTAGGCAGCCGCCCAGACTCCCCCAGGGGTGCAGAGCAGGTGAACCACCAGGGTGAGGGTAACCCCCAGGCATGTGCCCCCACTCCAGGCGCCCTCCTCTCCCTGCAGGGCACAAAGTCTCCTTTCCCTGCTCAGCTGGACGGATACAAAGGTCAGTCCCAGAGGCAGCAAGTTCTGCTCCAAGAGTTTCCTAGGAGAATTTTTGAAGATGCTAGGCACCGGCCCCGAACCCACCAGAACCCCACAGGACACGGCTGGGTCCTCCATCCCCACCAGGTCCCTCACCCTGGTGCCATCGTGGGTCGTGGGCACTGCACCTGAACAACCTGGGCTGCGGGGCTGTGTCCTGGGTCCTCGGATCTGGCCTCCCTCTGTGGGTACCCCCAGCTGGCTGCGGCCGGCCCCCACCCTCATGGCCTGCTGATCCCCTTCCTCCCACCTACTCTCCACCTGGCAGCCAGGCTCACAGGCTCCATGGAAAGTCTGAATTCATTGGCCCAAAGTTGAGGATGGTCCGCCTCTAGCCTGAACCCCTCCCAGCCTAACCCTCCCTGGCCTGCAGCTTCCTCATGGCCTCCCACTCAGCCACATCTGCACATGCCTGTCTGGGCTGACACCTGCACCTGTACCCTTCCCCAGGACACCCCAGGGTGGGGCCAGGGTGTGGCGGGCAACTCTCCAGAGAAGGCAGAAATGGGGAGGGTAGCCAGGGCGGGGAGCATGAGGCACGGTCCCCCGTGGGTACCCTGGGACTCTCGGTTACAGACCAGAAAGGAACTTCATGTGTCATACAGACGAGGTCAGGCATGGCTGAATCCAGGTGCGCTCAGCTCCTCAGTGCATGGCTCCTCCAGCCCTGCGGCAACTTCAGGGAGTCCCCGCCACGAGCCTTTCCTCAGCTAAGAAGAGAGGGGGCGGGGTGCAGAACAGGACCCCACATCTTCCCTCTGACCAGCCAGAAGGACTGGGGCCGAGGGTACGTGGGTTGAAGGCCACCGGCCTGGGCCCATCTGTCCAACAGGCTGCCTCTCTGCCTGGGGCCTCAGTCCCTTGGTTGGCACATCCCCCTGGGGTCCTTGGGGGTTTCTTGGAGAAGGAGGTGAGATGGTGCTGCTGCCAGGATTTAGGTGAGGTCACCCACCTGCGCCAAGTCTGCCTGAGGAATTAAAATCCCACGCTGGGACAAGGGCGTCTGCCATCAGGAGCTGGTGGTCTCCTTCTCTCTGAACAGGACGGCTGCCTGGAGGACAGGGCAGGTCGGGAAGTGCAGTCACATGCTCATATGGTGGGCCTCCCGCCCTCCTCCCCTATTCTCCCTCCGTTCTTGGTGGAGAGTTGGTCCAAGTTCTCCAGGAAGTGGACACTGGGCATCCCAGCTGTAATGGACAGAGCCATGTGGGAGTGGGGAAGGAGCGGGGTGGAGGCGTCAGGGACCCCGAGGTTCGTGTCTGGTTCACCATGGGGAGCAGCACGCGGGAGGAAGGACAGCCTCCAAGGGAGCTCCGCCGGCCCAGCTGCAGATCCGTGTGGATGTCAGTGCTGGTCCCCGAGAGCAGGTGGCCTCAGAGCCTGAAGCCAGCACCTTGGCAGGGCTCGCCCAGGTGCCCAGGGCTCTCCCTCAACGGTCGGCTGTGGGGCAAAAGCTGAGGCCAACCTGCGAGAGCGGGGTGTGGCAGCCGGGACCATGCCCGTAGAGCAGAGGCTTGTTCCCGCAGCCCTGGAGCAGGTGTGGGCGCAGACATCACAGGTGGGCTGGTGGGGGACCCCGCCCTCACAAGGTGCACACAGCCTGACACTACTGCCCACAGGCCACACATGTGTGCCTGCACCTGGGCACAGAGAGAGCTGACCCTCTGGGGCACCATGGCAAGGTGGTGGCACAAGTGCTGGCATGGACGGTCAGGGGTCCGTGGCAGCCCACTGCCTCAACTTGATCAGGGCCCCTCAGCCTGCCCAGGAGATGGCCTGGGAGAGGGTGGGCTACCGACACGCTCTGTGTCCTTGGCACTGGGCACAGGCCAGACTGTCTCTGTTCCCCACACCAGATGTGGTGACCGGCAGACCATCCCATGCTTAGGGACATGTACCTGGTCACACACAAGCTGATCCCTGCTCCCAACCCATGCGTCCAGCCCCGGTTGTCCCCTTCATGAGCCAAACCTGGAGCACAGGTTGGTGCTGTGTCCATCCTGTCCCAGCACTGGCACACTGCCCTTACCCCCGGTCCGGTGTGGGAGCAGCACCCAGCATGGGCCAGTGCATCACCTCAGGCCCCAGGCCCTAGGCAGCAGACCCCTGCCTGCACGGGCTGGCTTGGAGCGGTGCTCACTCCGGCACGGGGCTGGGACGCTGCTGCCGCTGCTGCGTGGCCGGGATGCCACCTCTGCTCGCACACCGTGTGCGCAGCTAGGCCAGCTGTTGGCTGTCACAGAACGGGGTGCTCTGAGGCTCCAAGGGTAGCAGCTGGACAGACCCCCACACCCAGCCCAGGCTGATGGGCCGGCAAAGGGGCTCCCTGGGTGGGGTACTCAAAACCCCGACCGCCCTACTGTTAAGGCCCCTGCAGTTAGTCTGCCCTGTCATCAGGCCGGCCACAGAGGGACCTCAGGGACTTGGTCCCAGCCACACAGGGTGTGTGCATGTGTTCAAGCACACCCCATCTTTGCCAGGCTCTGCCAGCTTCCGGGAAGGGGGAGAAGGTGCACAAGGGGGTAGGGGGTACAAGGACACGTGCCCACCCCCAAGAATACTCAAAGGTGCCCCCCGCCGTGTTCACTCCCTGCCCAACTCCGTGTGTGTGTGTGAGGTATGTGTGCGAGGGTCATGATTGTGGGCTTCTGTGTCTTTGTGCCCAGCCTCCCTGTGCCAGGAGGGAGGGAACCCATGGTGGGGACCGAAAACTAAAGGAATGCAGGCATCATAGGGACAGACAGAATGACCCAGAGAAGGAGGCTGGCCCTCACCCGACCCACCAACAAAAACATGCAGGGTGAGGACAAGCGATGTCCCCTTCGGGGCTCCGGCTTAACGCAAGTGCATTCCCAGATAGGGAAGGGCACACATGTTCTGGAAGAGAGGCCACTAAACCACAGTGCCCAGCAGGGCAGCAGAGATCAAAAGCCCGAGTTCCCGGACTTCATTCTAAAATACGCAGGCGTCCCCACCCCAGAAGCCACGAGCCTCCCAGTGCCAAGTGAAGGCAGCGGTCGGGGCAGGGCCCAGCAGACAGAGCCAGTCATCCCAACATCAGGCTGCGTAGTCTAGGGGGATTTAGTTTGCGTGGTCCCCAGGGTGGTTCCTCTCAGGAAGAAACCCTCTCCCACCCCAGCAAAAAGCCCAAGAGGCACTTTCTGGAACCAGGTGCTTTTAATTATGAAGCCAAGCCTGAATGAGTCTGGTATGAGGAGGGAGGGTCCAGCCTGGGCACAAGGAGGTAGGGGAGCGGGGACCATCAGGGCTGGAGTTGAGGCCACTGGGGTCCAAACAAGGGATCTTTGGGGTCAGCATTAGGTGCCCACGGTGGGATGGTGGAGATAGGGTTCCAGGGGGTCAGGGTGGAGTCCCCGGAGCAGGGCCCTGGGATTTGGTCCTGGGGTCAGGGTCCGTAGTCAGGATGCGGACAAGGCCCAGCCTATCAGTCATAGTCCGAGTCATCGAACTTGGTGCTAAAGAAGGCAGCGGAGTCCTTGGCCAGCCGGGACAGGTGTAGCGCGCCTGTCACCACCAGCGCCAGGAGCAGCAGCGGTGGCACCAGCGCCCACATCATGGCCAGGATGTTGTAGCACTTGGCTTTGGACCCCAGACGCCGGGCTGCCTCCAGGTCTCCAGCCACCTTCTGGTCCCGGGCCTGTGGACCAGGGGCAGGGCCAGGTCTCTACGTGCCCTAGGGGCCCTGCTTCCTCCCATTCCTCCTGTGGACCCAGAGGCCATCCTGGGCCAGCCTCAGCCTCCAAGGACCCTCTGTTGGTGGAGAGTCCTGGGATGCGGAGGACCCTGAGGAGAAGCCGGAGGGCTTTTGGTCGTAGGAGCCCCCAGCATGCGAAAAGCCGTTCGATGAAAGAGACCCCCTTGGGTAGCCCCCCACCACCTCTGTGCTCTTCTGGATGGACTAGACCCCCTCTCAGGACCATAGCACTGCCTCAACGGAGAAGCCCTCATGAGGCAAAGAGCTTGTCCACTGCTTGGCTAAGGGAGTGGCCTTCTCACAGGCATCACCCCTGGAAAGCCCCTCCCCCCACGAGCCTCTGGGGCCCTCCAGAAAAGCAACCCCCCTCCAGAGAGACTCCTGCCTGCCCACCTGGATGGAGTAGCCACCCCCCC